AATGTACCGGAGTGATAATTTATTGACACCATACATTTTTTCGTAAAAAACTTAGCACGTAATGTGTTTCCACGTTGTGAATAAGTCGGCTCAAAACTCATGATTCAATGAAAGAATCATTAGTCAATTGTTTTAAATATCATGGTTATATAGGCGTTGTGATCGATCATTGTTTAATTTTTAGTAATAAAGTTTCAATTAGCGAAAAATACTGCTCGTATCAGTGCAAAACTTTGACGTTTTCAACGGCCGTTTAAAGTTAATGGAGAAGTGTTCGTTAAAAAAACTGAAAACTAAACATTTCCACTTTTTTAACTGTTAAAAAATAATTACCCACTCTCTATGTAAAGTACCAAAGAATACTGTTTGCATATGACAAAGTATTCATGCTTCAGCTCAGTTAGTTAAGAAGGTTTTTCAAGACGGGTTAAACTTCCGCTTACAAGTTAAAAGCAAGTTATTGGAACTATATCGCGAATAAATTATTCCAAATTGGCCAAATTAGTTAAAAAGAAACCCTCAACGTTTAGAAAAGTTTCAGAATGGATTTTTAAAAATTTTGCGCTGAAGTCAAAAAAAATTTTTTAGTTGTTAAAAAATAAAAAAAAGTGCTGCATAAGAAGTTGAAAATTGTATGGATAAAAAACAACCCGATCACAACTTTTCCGTCACTTTTTCAAACGTAGGAACGAAAATAATATATTTTGTTATTAAGTCGGTCCATTGAGTGTTTCTGTGACCAGAAATTGAGTTTTCTATTTTCTTGCATTTTTTTGTATTTAATATCCGCAGTCAGTTTTTTTAGTTTCAACCAGCTCTTTAGTAAACCATTGCTGACTTTTTTTAACAGATAAATGATAATTTTGACAACCCAAGCTATTTAAGTAATTTTGATCTAAAATCATCTCACAGTCGTGAGCTAGAAAAATTTCACATGCGGTCATTTTGTGCACAACCATCAAGTTTTGTAAGCTTCCAATTCGGTTTTATCGAATCGCGATTTATGTTGTTTGAATAGCGTGTAAGTTGCTTATCGATGCGGCTCAACATTTGAAGAAGTTGAACTGCCGAGAAGTATTTGGTCTGTTGGCCTCTTAAATAAACTCGAAACAAAAACAAAATATACTTATTTTTGAAGTATAAACGAAATAGTTCGTTCAAAACATAAATTGAGATGCAATGGTACATAAATGTTTGATTTTCACAAACTTAATCTGTGTTTTTTTTCATGTATGAAACTTTATCTCCGTCAAAATTTTCTGCCTTTTTTGCGTCTGTCAAAAACTGAGACGTTAGAAGCTAGTTTAAACATTGAGTACTTTTCACTGATTCAACCAATTTCATTTCAAGCTATTAGTAATTATCTCCTGCCTTACGCTTCCAAAGTTCTATCTCAACTTTTGTCTAAAGTTTTTAAATATTCAAAAAACTGGCAACTTTTTTCTTAAGTTGATAAAAATTTAGTAATTTTCAAAAAAAAAATTTGAAAACAGAAAAAAAACAGAAAAAAAAGTAGAGAAGACTAAAATAGTTAGACAAGTGTAAAATCAAACAATAATTCGAAGAATTCATGCAGGAAAAACTTCAGAAACACTAGTTACACAATAACAACGTCGCCAGAACTTATAAATATTAAGCTGGTTCAATTTCAATGTTGTAATGAATTTGTCTAAACTTATAATAAACCAATTATTTCCTCCTATTGGTGAGCAGTGGTCAATTGATTACGCCTCCGCCACTCAACTGAAAGGTCGGATGTTCGAGGCGCATCATGATTCGTGCTCGTTGCTTGAGGGTAAAATAAATTTGAACAGCCCGGTCAAATAACCCACATAATGAAAGCAAATATTAAATTTACATGAAATATTTTCATTAAATGTAAATATTTACATTAAATGAATGTAAATATCAACTGTTAAGCTCTCAGTGAAGAGCTGAACAGTTGGTGTGTTGATCCTATCCCTGTGGATAAATGGTCCTGAACATAGTTTACTTGCATTAGTTGATATTGTGTTGTCACTGTTATACTACTCTTACTTAAGTTTCTTTCATATTGCTGCAGCGTAATAGTTGAATCAAAAGCTTACTTCTAAATTATTTTTAGTCATTTCATCAGAACAAAAAACATAAACCATAAAAAATTTGCTCCTCCCAGTTTTAAAGACCAAAAACTACTGCCGGATGCTCGAGGCCCCTCTTGGTCCATGTTCAATGCTTGACGGCGTGGTAACATTACCAGGCCCAGAAAAATAACTACAAAAATGCATATAGTTTATAAGCAGGACAAGCGATGAGCTGAACAGCTCGGACGTTGGTCCTTTCCTTAAGAGATAAATCGTCCTAACATAATTCTAAGCTTTTTTATCATAGACAGCAGAGATTTTTTCATTTGATATACTAACAAAAACACATGTTTGCTGCTTTTTATGCGTTTTTTGGATGCTTAATAATCTTCTTGATCCCGCAAAGAGAAAAAATATATACTTGATTAAATTTTTTTCATAACGTACTGTCTAATCGTTTGTGCAGGTTTTTTTTATCATTTTTAATATTAGACATTATTGATCTCTTAAAAATTTTTAGTTTTATCTGTTTTGCAGACAGTTTTGAAAGAAACAGTTTGAGGAAACAAATCGAAACAAAAAAAAACGTTTTACTCTTCTAAAACTTTGTTGGGCAGTGTAAGAGACTTCTTTTGAAATTGTTTTCTCGTCAATTAACTTGAAAGTTTAAGCGTAATTTTTGATTGACTAAAAAACCAAAATGACCTACTTTTGGGATAAAATATTGGTTCAGAATTTCGGGAAAAAAAACAAAAAAAATTGGTGAAAATTGCAGCAATTCTTATTTCTTCACTTTTTGTCTAATCATAATCTAATTTGAGAAAAATGCGTTTAAAATTTTCAGTGTTGTTAGTTGTGTCCGGTTAATTTGAATCAGCTCTGTAGACGGCATTTGTTCGCGAGAACTTAAATTTTTCTGAACAATCTGTAAACCCTTAGTTTTTGACGAAAAGTGGCCAGGTATTGTCTATGAAATAATTCAATTTATTTCAAATACCAAATCGCCTTGCAAAAAGTAAGGTTTCTAAGCAAGCTATTTAATCAAAAAAACTTAGAAAATTTTCAAAACATTTCATAGCTTGAATCAATTTGGAAAAATGTGAAGATTTTGAAGTTACTTCATAGCGCAAATTGCTCCCCGAATAGTTAGTTTTTGTAAGCGGATGAGCGTTGCTGTTTTTGATTGTTTTGAAATGAATCTGTAATTGCTTAATTTTTGACAAAAAATGGCCAGGTTTTTTCTAGCTTTGAAGTTGAATCGAGTTTATTTGGCTTAAAATGTTTCGGACATTTTCCAAACAGAGTTCTAGAATAATTCCATTTTCGCTTAGATCGATAGCCCCTTAAACTAATTTTTAATTATTATGTTAAATTGATCACACTGGTTTAATACTTAAAATAAGGTTTGGTTGGCTGACTTTTTTTCGCGCATTCTGTACCTGGCACATGGAGGAAGACACATCGCGCATTCTGTACCTGGCACATCGCGCATTCTGTACCTGGCTTAAGAAATCAGTTTAAGGTTTGCGTTTACTTGCTAATTAAAATTTAAGTTTCATGTTGATGATTTGATGAGTAGAAGGAGGGGGAAATTTGATCAGGCACTCTATAAAACTTATTCTCAAGGCAATAATGTAGAGCGACGCTCATGAGAAAGTATGCTACTTGCCAATCTCGTGTTTGAAACTACCCGCACCGGAGTTCCATGGATAATCATCGATTATAATGTAAAAATGTTGTCTAAAATGTTGTCATTATAATCCATTATTGTGGCAAATTTAGACCACGTAATCGATTATGAGGTCATTAAAATCGATTTTTTACGAAAAATAAAAATCCATTATAATCCATTATAATCGATTATAATCCATCATTTTTGTCACTGAAATCGATTATTTTTGCCAAAATAATCCATTATAATCGATTATTATCGAAATTTATTGAGACAGACCACGAAAATTCAATACAATCGATTACTATCCATGGAACTCCGGTGCGGGTAACACTTTACCCTAATTTTGGAAACCGAGACGTAAATTGTCGTTGGGTACGAATAGTGGCCAGTTAAAAAGAGTCACAACTAAATTAGCTGCTAATTGCCGCCCGTGGTGAAACATTGCACGCAAAAAATTACCTTTAGGTATGCGGAAATGTTCGGTTATTGCTAATTATCATATATTCCTAAGTTTTCTCAAGACAAGCATGAAAAACATCAGGAAAAGACCAGTTACGCTACTCGTTGAAAGCGCATGACGTTAACTTCATACCGCGTTAGTTACCAGAGTGAAACTTTCCTCAAATAATTGGGTTTTCGTACAGTTGCAAAATGAGCTTGAAATAAGCTTTTCGTGATTTCTTATGATCAATTTGTAGCCATGGATGAATACTTGTGCAGTTTCACTACTTGACGAATACTTTGGTGTTTCAGTAGTATTAGAGATTTTAATTGAACATTTTGATGCTCTTTGCTCGATCAAATTGACTTTTTTAGGTGTCATGAAATCTTAAAGAGATGTTCGCTCAAATTTTATACGGGTCCCAGAAAAGTCTTTTTTTGTCCAATTATCTCAGACAATAAGAACCATTTTTGGAAATGCTTTACAAAAAAAAACACTTTTGGCAAAAAACAGTAATTAGGGCATCAATTATCTGTTAAAGGGGTTCGCGAAGTGTCAAGTTTCCCTGAATCCGCAACTGATTTGAGTCTCGAAACCTATTACTGCAGCCTGCTCATAGAAGTCTGAAAAGCAGAGGCAGAAAACTCTGGCTGAATTAATGTTCTGCCAGCATAAGCTTACGGAGGCATTAGGCATCCCGGTGGCAAAAAGGGGGTTGGTGACATGGTAGGAATGCACCAGGAAGCAAACCAGAGTGATATAGTTTATTAACTTCATTTTATTCGCTCTTGAGACAGACTCAATGATTGAAAACTAAGGACAAGAAGAAGAAGTAATTTCAGTCCAAATTTACAGCAATACATTTTTCTAAATTTGCAAATCAATCTAATCTTTTCAACCTCAGCTTGTAACACACTCTGCGTCACTTTAAATATCGGCGGGAGGGGGAGAGAAGTTAATCAGTGCACAGGGTAGACGAAAAGGGGAGCAGGGGCTGTGATTCGGAGTCAGACATACTGGAGACAGCCGGGGTCATACTTGGTCAGTAAAGAGTGAAGTTCTTGTCCGTGAGTTTCATATCCTTCACAAACCTAAAATAGCACAGAAAGGTTTCTCTTCTGTCGTTTTGCATTAAGTTTACTCCTTTTAATATGCAAATTTTTTGCACACCTCATTTTTATATAGCTCCAATGCATTCATGAAACCAAACCTAAACGGGCGTGTTCATGCCCATTTGAGAAAAGATACAAACAAAATGAATTCTACTTCCAATTTCCTTTTTGCCAGGGCCACTTTGACTAGCTTTTGGCGGACAATTATTAGACTTGTTGCGATCGTGTCCGTTACGTGTTGTCAAGTTGCCACAGACTTATCTCTAGTCTTTTTGAACACCTCTAGAAGCATTGCTAATTATATTTTCATTAGTACAAGTCTGCAGAATAAATGGTAAGCTCTTCATTCTATCCATGAACAGTAGCGTGCTGAGGGGGATAAGGCGGCGGTGGGGGGGGGGTGGTTACCGCTCCATTCCCCCTCAGTTATGCTAGCTAAATTTTCCAAAGACCCCCCTTTGGTATAATTCTACGACATCCATTTTTGGTTGACCAACCACAAAGTTTTTCTAAAGGCGCCTTGCCTTGGGCGCCAATATAGCTAACTTTGAGGGAGGAGCGCGCGCTGAAAAATACAATGGTCCTTATAGTACTTTCGGATAGCTCGGAAAATCAAATTGATCGACCTAAAAAAAGGTACGCAAAATTTTTCGAAAAGCCGCCCCCCCCCTGGAAAAGTTTCTGCGCAAGCCTTTGTCCATCAGTTAATTGAATTGCGCTATTGTTGGGTGAGAGGCACTAGTTTGTCTTCATGCGAAATCGATTTTTGAGAGGTATAATGATAGTAAAGGAGGTTTTGTCTCCTCTCTCAGTGAATTAATTAGTTCGCTGGGTGGTTCGAGGTCCTTATTGATCCCTGCTTGTTGATTTAATATAATGAAATATTTCCCAACTTGCAAAATTAAGTGAGGTAAATCTATTAAGTCTAAATCAAGAACCAGACAGCAGTTCAAGATAAATCCTTGACACTGCTGGTAGGCTTTTCATTTTTCATCAAGTAGATAAGTCGACTTAATTAATAGCTAGAAACATGGATAATTTTAAAAATAATAATCTCCTCCTTTTATTAGACTTCTTTTTCTGCGCCAGTCACACAACCCATTATACCGTAAGTTGATTAATTCGCGATCTGATTCTGCAGCAGCATATTATCATTAATGCCATTTATTACTGTAAATAAATATATTAGATCAAGTTTTTAGCTTTGTATGGGCATTTATTTCTCTCATTCACAAAGCTAAAATTTTTGAGTTTGTGGATTTTATTTCCAAATGGTACTGATTTCATTTTTTCTCCCTTCTCGCTTCAGAATCCTAAGAAGCGGCATCTATATGAAACGGTTTCAGTTGAAAAACATACCAGTATAGAAACACTTACTTGGTCATTTCGCTCTCCACCGAAGGGAAGTGTGGCCCCTTGTACCAGTTGGGGGGCTGGATAGATTCCAGGGGCACCTGTTCCGTCTTCCATCCGTGCTCCATCGCCACACTCTGCGGTTCCTTGTACATGTCATTGGGGTCTAAAGCAACACAAAAACACAAACTGGGTATAACAATACAATTCATTCAATTTTGTTACAATGTCAGATACTCTTTGCGTGCTATTCAAAGACCATATGCGGTTGCCACTTGAAAATTTCCCGGAAAACACAGAAAAACGTGTATAAAATTGGTGGGTTCAACAGACTTTTAGGTGGAAATAAAATACTGGAAGTTCAAATCAAAGGTGACAAATTGAAAGACTTCTTTCTTGTTTCCATTAGACCAAAACTTTAATTTTGGTCAATTTCCCAATCCACCACAATTTCTATCAACAACACCGGCTTCACCGGTGTACTAGAACAAATTGAAGGAGATGAAATTTCAAAAATTTTAAAACAACTAAAATAAAAGAATTTTGCCGATCATGACTCTAAATCTAACACTGTTACGAACGTGGAACGTGAGCTTCAGTCATCAGCGAGAGTCTAGCAACCTCTGCTTTTACAAGAGTATTGATAAGGAATAATTACTTGATGCATTTAAGCTAACAAAAAAAAAAACTGCCTTGATCAAGATGGTGTTAAAATTGATCCATCCAACTATTGCCCAAACGATATTTTTTCAATCTTTATCGAAATGTTGAAGAGAATAATTCATCAGCGAATACTTTACATAACAAAACACTTCAATTGTTCTTGCAATAACACGCTAGAGCGGAAAACTATCGGGAAATAATGGGCTCTTTTTATTGATCTACGCGTAGCTTTTGATTTTGTCAACCAAGACGTTTTGCCGTCAAAAAAACTGATACTTATGGACTAAGAAGGAAAAAGTGTCTTCTTTGGAGATATTATTTAACTAATAGAAAACAGTTTGTTGCAAATAATCAATGAACCACGTATACCTAAAATGAGTTGTGTTGTGCCACAAAGTTCGAATTTTCAATTTTTTTTAGTTTACATAAGTAACATTAATACCAGCGCCCTAAAAAGTAAAATTAGCCTCCTTGTTGACAATACTTAATTAATTGCGACTACCCGCTAAAGCAAAGCAATTGAGAGTTTTTAGCTGACGTCTGTTCTTTAGACGACTGGTGTTACAACAACAAACTATCAACCAATTCTTCTAAGTGGGAAGGTTTTTAATTTAGCTAACGTATGCGTATGATATTTTTGTTTTGCCTGAAACTTAAAATACGCCTCGTAATAGTTACAACTATATAGAACTTATACTCGTAATAGTAACAACTATATAGAACTTATATGGACGCCAAGTTTAACTTCAAAGAGGATGTAGACTCTATTTGCAAAAACATAGCTATTTCTAATGGTATTTTGTGTATGGGTTGGAATATTTTCTTCAAATTTTACAGTTTCAATTTTAACACAACGTAATCCAGTTATTTCATCTGGACCGCTTTCTTTGGAATTATCAGCAAACAAAATCTTGTCAGATTTTTTATACGCCAAAAATTTATCCACCGACCAGCGTTATACAAAAAAACAAGACCATATCCTTGTGTTTTGCAAAAAAAAATGCATTCAAGAAAAATTACAATCACTTTCGTGGTCAATTTTTCTGCAAAATAATTTCAATTGTTAATCGAAAAACCCATATAAGTTTTCTAGACTCGGCGCAATTGATTGACATAGTCAAATAATCCTAACGTTTAAATTATGTGTTCTAGCCAATAGACCATTTCAACTTAATTTGAAACAAATTCTCAGGACCTCCACAAGTTGGGCCGTTAAAGCTCCCGTACATTGACCCTATTATAGTTGTATGTAAACCAAATAGTGTGGTATCGTGCTTCTATACCAAAAAACCATTATAATTTCCTAAAAAGCAGCCAGAAAGCTCTAGTGTTTTAGTTTTTGCATTGTTATAATGTTTTTGTCAATTTTGAGCCTTTTTTTCTAAAGATTATCTCAATCAACTGATTGTTCTATTCTTCCAACCTGAACTCTTTCCGTCAAAAATACATTTAAAAACATTTCAGATAGCCAGTCTCCACTTTTGTTCCTTTTTTGGGCTAATTTGAAAGTCAGAATTGGATAATGAGAGTAAAAAAATATCGGTCGAAAAACCAAAAAATTGATTTGATGAACTCCATTTTGGTGATTTGGTGAAACGGTTGTAGACATTTGTTAGTTATTATGACACAATATTTATCCGGGTAGAACAAAAACTCGAATTATTGAACTTTCTTTTATGAAAAAACTTACTGTCAAACGACTCCATAACATAGCAACAGAAAGTTGGAAAACAGTCAATGAGCGCAAGAAAACAGGAAAAAATACTGTCTGTTTTCTAAAAAAATTCTCTTGTTTTTTTTTGGAATTCCAGAAAATTTTATGATTGACACTTTTTTTCCAAAATAAACCCAATTTGCGAAAACTGGATCATTAGGTAAATCATTTATTCCGCTTAAAAACTAGCAAACTAAATCCACTTTTGGAACAAGAAGTTGACCACGTTTTTTGTGATTTGGACGGTCGAGTTTGCTTTTCTTTTTATATTGGAAATGCACTGAATTTGAAAAAAATGGCTCTTTTTCCTTTTCCCCCCACCTGCAAATTATTCAATTTGAAATTACTGTTCACTTTGTCCAATTGTCATGAAATTTGACGTGCAGATTGATTAGGTCATAACAAATATATTTGGTCTTCATAATTTACCTTGTAAAACCACTCCTTAGACTATAAATTTCATGTTTGTGTGAGGTGGGGGGGAAGGAAAAAGAGCCAAAAAATATATATATAACCCAAACCATGAAAAATTGCATTTGAGTGTGAACAAATTTAAAGTCATTTTACTGAAAAAAAATCACCAAGATCTATATTAAAGTTTTCACTCCGTTCATTACTCTGAATAATTCGATACGTATTGAAAATTATATAAAATCTCGGCTCTTTTCCAGTTCCCTCCTTTCAAAATACCAAGTTTTATGTTTGTTTCACGTGTTATTACGGCTAAATGCGTGATGTTACGCCGTTAAGTATGAAGAACAAATCTGTTCACAGTTGACGATTTGTTCACCACGCCAAATTTCAGTGCATTATGGCAACGTTAAATAAGCTTTTCAAAATTGAATTTGAAAAAGGGGAACTGGAAAAAAGCCAAAATCTCCATGATAAACAACTTTCCATACATGAAAGTTGTATGACTAGGATTTTCAATGAAAAATGATTTTTTTTTCAAGTTTTGCAAACCGTTTTTTGTTTTATGTCCAAAAACACAATAATCAAGGATATTCTAACCAAGAAAACCCATTTGTCGAGGGAAAAAATCTCAGTTGAATGTCATTTGTAGCAGAGTTGAATGTCATTTGTCATTTAGCAGCAGTTCAAAAATTGCACAATTTTTATATATCAAAACAAACTGACAAGCTTTTTTTCATGAATTTTCTTTACGGAATTGTATGACTAGCATTTTTCGCGTATGGAAGTCAACCCCGGTAAACATCAAACTGGAATAAAAATCCGTTCTTATTGTACTGACCGAACGGACTGACTTCGCTCCTCATTTTGTCGTATGTCTGTTTGGATCCGTGGTGTATTTCCAGAGTGGGCTTCACCTTTTCATTGGCGGGGGTGATGGCCACTGCAGGCAGACCACTGCTGTACTTGATACTCAGCTGGCCCTGCCAAAAAAGTAGCTAGGTTTAATGAAAGTTTGTTATAGGGGGAGGGTAGTTTTTTCAAGAAAAGATTTTTTAATTCAGGTTCTATTTGGTTTATGTAGTGCCTATAATTTCATATGGTCTCCTTGTCTATGATAGCACGAATATAAAAATCGTTTGAAAAAATTGGGATTTAGAATCCTTTCTGGATTTTTTTCCAGAATTTTATAATCGTGCTATCATAGACAAGGAGACCATATGAAATTATAGGCACTACATAAATTCGTCGAAAGTTACTGAGTTCGGAATCAAAGCAATTCATGAAATTTATTTGTCTCAACTTAAAAAAACCAATTTTTCAACAAAACTCACCATTTGCAATAGGAGAAAAACGCAATTCGACTCAATCGCATAATTATTTTTTATCGTTGTCAGACAAAAATTGTGGAAAAGTCTCTTTCAAGTAAAACAGTGAATTATTTCAATTTCTTGATGTCAAATAACCCTTTAGCAAGTAAAATTGAAATGTTTCCAGTTGACCAATTCCAAGGTGTTTCGGTTTCTCAAAACCAATTCTACTATAGTTATTGTCCAGCTGAGTGATATGTTTTGGTCGTTATCTAAATGTAATAGTTATCTTATCCCAGAGAGTAGCTTTTTGCAGCCTGGTCAAGCAATTTTGATGCAGTGCCTTTGTATGCTGTATTTTTTGCACACTGTTTTAAAAGAATTAGTTTAATAAGGAGCCGTGGTGAACTGGCACGTCTCCCCAAATTAATCGAAAGGTCGAATGCTCAGTGCTTGCCTTCATCCATGCTTGTTTTCTGAGGGTGAAGCAACATTACCCAGCCCAGAAAAATAACCAAAAAACGCATGTTTCTCTTCTCTTAAGCTGGTGCCCGACAGTTGTTCTCAATGAAGAGCTGAACAGCTGGCGTGTTGCTCCTATCCTTGTGAATAAATTGTCCCCAACTTAATTTTTTGGCTCTTTTCCAGTTGCTCCATTTAATTTGTTCCAGTTGCTCCGTTTAAATTTGAATTACGGAAGCTGATTTAAAATTTTTGATATTCTTATTTGCAAAATGATGTGGCGAGCAAATTAACGAGAGAGTAGAACGTTTTTTTTTTCTTAAATATAAATTTTCGTATGAACAACTTTGATCAATTTGATATTGTAATTTTACGAGAGGATAAGAAAATGAAAAAACCCAAATTCTACCTGTGTTTCTTTCAGATTGTTGCGGCGTAATGATTGAATCAATAATTTACTTAACTTTTAGGCTCTTTTCCCCCTAACCTGCAAACTTTTAAAGTTAAAGCTACTGCTCACAATGTCCGATTTTCATGAAAATTGACATGCAAACTAATTAGGCCATGACAAACAATTTTGTGCACCTCCCAGCTTTGAAGATCAAAAATTACAGCCTCACAAGCAATATTTTCTACTTCGAGTGTCCGTATAAATTAAGGTTTCTAAGAGTTATAGCTCTTTTCCACTTTCTCCACTTTTCAAATTATCTATTTTTCCAGTTTTTGTTTTGTTTTATTATGGCTAAACGCGTAACTTTTTCTTGTTATATGAGAGCGTTAAATTAGCTTTAAAATGGTGGAGCTGAAAGGTGGAAGATCGTGGAAAAGGGCCTCAAACTTAGTGTAAGCTGAGTGAAAAGTGTAAGCCCTGTTCACCTGGTCTACTTTGGCGTCCTCCTTCACATCTTTGCACCTCTCCCTCACTGTATTCTGGAATCCCAGTTGAGTCAGGTTGAAAAATCCAGCCATGATTCTCTCAGCCGCCAATTTAGCCAAACGATGATCAAGTTTTAAAGTCTTTCAAATTGGTTTCCTGCAGCTATTTTTGTGCGCTGACGAAATAGGCTCAGTTATGTTTGCCAAGAAAAATCAATTTAGTTTTGGATGTGGAATTGAGTTAGATATGGAATTGAATTGGTTTGCCAAAAATTGGTTCTTAATCTGTGGTTAACTTGGTTCACAAAACGTCACTTTTGTGTTTTTGGCAGACGCACGTGCAGTTGCAAATCAAAAATTAAATATCACTGATAGATAGCGTGCTATTTTATTTGTGCGATAAACAACGTCTGCATTGAATCGGTTTTCAAAATAGTGTTCTTCTCTGTAAAATTGAGCTTCTTCCTGGTCAGTAATGGTCCACAATATAACTCAGGATTCTAAAAACCTAGCAATGCAAATTTAGGCTCTTTTTCCTTTCCCCACTTGCAAAGTTTCACAAGTAAAAATTTTGTTCACATTGTTGTTCGATTGTTATAACAATTGACACACGAACTAATTAGGTTATGACAATTAATTTTGGTCTTCAGAATTAACCTTATAAAACCACTCGTTACACCATAAAATTCAAGTTCGTGTGAGGCGGGGGAGGGGTAAGGAGGTAAGGAAAAAGAGCCCAAAACTATGATACAAACACTGGCTTAGGCAAAAATGTGAATATATTTTGCTTAATCTGGAAAGCTCGGAGGAGAATCATTAGAAGAGATCATAGCGTTTTCTAAAAATGCGGATCTTATTTTTGTTAATGGAAAACTAAGTGACCTCAATTTTCATTCCTCAATTCAAATTGAGAATTACAAGTTTTTTTAGATTTAAATACTCAGTAAAAGCGAAAAGTTTCATCAAAACATAAAAAACCCAATGAAGCCTGTTAAAATTTAGGGATCTACTTAACAATTGCCTCCTTTCAAGAAAAAAAGGGGGTCAATTGATAAATTGATTAATTTGGCAAATTTTCGACTAATCAGGTAGCAGCAAATTTCGAAACTTGATTGATAATAAATCGACCTAATCATTAATAGAACTCCAAGATACAGTGCTGATTAATTAATTAACCGGACAAAACGAACAAATTTTGAAATTTCAAGCTCGTTTTCTTCAAACTGGGTTGAGATTAGACAAAAAATAAAGAAGAACAAAAGTTGCTTAAACTTTCATCAGAATTAAGATGGTGTAATTTTTTCTCTAAAATTGTCAACTAAAAATCTACCCCAAAATGGGTCAGTTTCTTTTAGTTGATCAAGAATTACGCTCAAACTACTTTGTTAATAGATGAGAGAATTATATCACAAGAAGCCTCTTGCACAGTTCAACAAAGTTCTAGCCTCTCTTCTAGCGTAAGTTGCTTTTTGATAACTGTATCGACCATTAAAATTGGAGAGAAAGTTTGTATTGGGGTGTTTTAGTTGTTTTGTTTTCCACGCAAAATCAATATTGAAAAAAGACAGGTTTAAGTTTTTGATTTTTGGTCTAAATTCGAGCGAAAAAAAGCGAGTCAGAAATGTTTATTCAGAAACGTTTGGCTTGCAATCGCTTCCTTATACTCAATTAAAGCAAGTAAAAATTGAGTTATATTCAAGTTAAATTCGTTTTGGAGTTTTTTAGAATCAAAACTTCGAAATCAAAATTTTCAGCAAAAATGTTGATAAGTTTTTGATCTTTCAGCTTTTTTTTTTCATTTTTGCACAGAAATTTGCCCAATTTGCCTATTTTAAGATGAGTGGCGAATATGCTGAAGATCTATTTTTGTGTTCAGATCCTTTTATCACGCCACAAAAAAAAACGACATTATTTGAAAAAGCTTTTTTTTCGGAATATTCTGAGCTAATTGCACAGTAACCGGGTTTTTCTTTTTTTTCAGGATCAAGAAACCGTCTCTTTCAGCAAAAAATTAGGAAAATACGAATCTTCTTGGTTGTATATTATTTATCCGACTTTTATTTGAGATCTTTTGTAGATTTATGTTTAAGCTTTCAAAGTTGGGTTCAAATTACTTAGTTGAAGCTCACGCCTAGCTTATAAAAATTTTATGTTGAAGCTAAAAACCAAAATATCAACGTTTTTGTGTCTTAATGTTCAGTTGTTATTGCATTCAAATCGAAAACTAGAAATCACTTTTTGGCAGTTGTTTTCTCAAAATCATTCTTTTTTCATGCGTGGTTTGTGTGTGGATTACACTCAATTTAAATAAAATCACTAGATTTTTCTGGGTTTTCACTATAAATTCAAATTGATTTTAATTGCAAAAATTTAATCTATTAGAACATTTCATAAATTTTGTTAGTGATTTTTTTTTCATCTCGAATTTCAGAAGGAAATTTATATTCCAAAAAGATTTTTTTTTCTATCTAATTCATTATAGGTTTTTGTCATGAAGTAATTCTTTTTACAAGAATTTGATAAAACAACCAAGCGCAAAAAATGTAAAAATGAAGCCCTATTTCTTGTTCGTGATCAATTGTTTCAGCTTTAAAAACAATCTAAAAATAAAACAAACGTTCGCAAAGGACACTAGTGACAGATGTTTTCAATTAAAAGTCCACGGAAGACTACAGAAGGGTTTATTGGCCTCAAAATAGGACGCCATTTTTATTGGGGTAGTTTTTGTTAAAATTGTTCAAATCCGAGTCAACATTTCCGTACCTCCGTTACAAAATTCAAGAACCATATGATATTTTTTTCTCAAACTAGACAAAATTTTTGTGCATTGTCTTCAATTTTTTTAATAAAAAGTGTGTCATCAGATAGAGATTGACAAGTAAGTTGTTGTTCCGACCGGTGTTTTATTTTTTTTTGTTTTCCACACAAAATCAGGTACCACAAATAATCATCTGAATGGGTCGAGTGATATATAAAATTAAAGCCCTTTAAGTCGTGATTCAAACGACATTAAAAAACGTTCAATTTTTTTTCACAGGATTGAGAAAAACCGGTTTGATTTTTGGTCTAATTTCGAGCTAATAAGATGATCGTGCAGGCTTACAATAGCTTCTTCAAGTTTAATTTAAGCCATGAAAGCTCAGTTTTACTCAAGTAAAGGTAATTTTTGGAGTTTTTAGCGCAACTTTGGGAATCAAAAACTCAAAAATTAAAAAAAAAATTGTTTTTCTAGTCAATATTTAATAATTGTTTTCCAATTGACCTATTTTACTATGAACCTCAAGTATGCCTAAATTCTAATTTGTTGTTCATATCTTTTTTTTTGTATTTATAATTCTGTGGTCGGAACCTTTTGTGCTACTTGCACAGTAACCTGCTATCCTTGTTTTAAAGTGTAAATGAACGCAGTGAAGAAGGTCGTGACGATTTCAACTTTTGTTTTAAGGAAAAATCTTAAGCATAGCGCTCAAAATTTGTTCGCGTTTTAGTTTAAATTTAAGTTTTCTCGCCCAGGACTGGAAACTTACATTCTTAATAAAAAAATTACAATTGACACAAAAAACGTAATTGACTTTTAGTTTCCAAAATGATCTTAGTTTCGGAATTTTAAGCGAAAAAAAAAATTCTGTCGTCCCAGTTTTTTCGAATTTTCTCTTTTAGGCTGATAATGTTTTTTCTCCCATTTCCGTGAGTTAATTTGCATTTTTCCAACGATGTGTCAGCCATATTATTGTTTCTGCCCAAAGGCGACACGCATTGTTTTGGGCCCTTTTATTGTTTTTTTTTTGCAATTAATCCAAATCAAACTTTGTACTGCCAATTTTTTTCTCTTTACCGATACACTTTTGAAAAAAATGTATCATCACAGATTTTGAAATTAATCAAAAAACTTAACCACGGTTTACTCGCAGATTGAGATTAGTATCTGAGCTGCATCGAAGTAGTACCTGAGCTGCATTAATATCTAGAGCAGTAACTTTCTAGAGAGTGCTTATTTTTTCAAAAAAAAAACTGTTCGGGACAAGCGTTTTCCTTATTCCCGTTATAAATCAGCATGCCGAAGGCACATACAACGAAGGTACATATGATGGAGGTACATAGAAGAAATAACAAAACAGGCAAAGTTGACAATGCTTCCGGTTTTTGACAATTTTACGAAGCGTTGACGATTAGCGCGACAAAAAATATGAGTTTACTTTTCATATATAAATATTTTTTTTTAAAAGCAGACGGAATAACAAATTGAAATCAAAATAATTTAATTGGATTCAACTCACTGCCGACCCAAAGGGTCCCCGTTTCGACAAACTGGGAAATAAAGTAACTTTGCTTTTTTACGCAATTAAAACCAGCCTATGATTAAGATGGAATCCTAAATTAAGTTTTTATGACAAGATCAGACTAAAAAAATGCTATCTGTCTGCCACGGTCAGCAAAAAGTAGAACATTGGAAAAAACTCATGATGCAATGTTTCAAAATAGCCGAATTTGCTACTTTGCTTCGACTGTTTTGATTAAAGACAATTCAAATGCACATGATGTGGGAGGCAATAGTTTTCACTTGTCAGCCACAGTGTTCAGAGATGTTCTGGGTATAAGATGTAGAAAAGCAATCAAGGGCTCTTGCTCCATTTGTCAACAAGAATACCAATGGAGGTCACTTTTTTTCTTGTAAGTTGGAAGAAAAAGCATTGTGGTCTTTGCGCTTCAACGGCATGCAAGATGCTTTTCGGGGCCACTTCCTTCCGGCTTCAAAAAGCGACTTAATCCATCGCAACAAATTGTTCAATGAGAGGATTAAGTACAAATCCGACCCTAAATTTTGATAAATCGATTTGAAAACAAATACAAACTAATTCTGAGGGGAGAGCGTTACGAAAAAAAAACATTTTTTTTTTGTCAAAACTATCTAAAAACTGCCTAAAAACGCGTTTTTTCTTGTTTTTTTTCTTCTAAAAACTGTCAGCGTCGCTGCAAATTTAGTCGAAACATAATCTTTATAGTGATTTGTACGTGCTTGGAAAAACAATTCGGTCGACCCAAAAAAAAGACCGACAAAATGTACGAAAATGTTTTGAAAATCCGATCCACGCTCGAAAAAATCTTTGATACAACCCTGACGTAAACGCAAAAATACTGAAATCGTTGGGTGAGTAACATGGAGCAGAACCAGCGATTCAGCAAGAGAAACTAAATCAGTTTTGAGAGTGACAGGGGACCAAGACGACAACCTGGAAGTAGAAGTGTTTGCTCCTAATTTCCTTGAAGGTACTTTCTTTTTTTGCATTGCAATTTCTGTAAAATGTAGGAGGCGATAGATATGTGAAAAATGAATTCCTACAACCAGACAAAACTTCTACTTAAGGCCGAAAGAGGAATTTGAATCTGGA